CATCCCCAGTCTCAATATGGAAACACTTAAAACTAATTTTATCCAGGTATAAAACTGGACCCTGCCAGATACTACCTTTTAGACAGATATGATAAATAAGTTATCAGCCTATTTCATGGTAACCTTGTTCATGATAACACTATTTTTGAAAGCTATGGTCTTCGACAATTTTGTTTAACAATCCCATCTTTAGAAGTACCTCAGTCCTATGTTGAGTCCTTACCTTTCTGTCTAATGACACAATGCTTTCCAACTTTGACATAAAATTACAATCTTTCAAAAGACTTATAAAGCATTGCGACATGAGACGTAAATTGCATGTTTCTTTTTTTTAATTTTTTTGTTTCACCCTACTCATAAAGCTTAAAAGAAATTTTAATACAAATGTGTGTTTGCATTTTTATTTTTATTCTTATCATATTTCAGTATGATTCTGACAACAAAATGTGTACACCAAGTAACAACCTATATTATGTTTTTTGCATTTCCAAATGTTTTAATATAAACTCTCAATTCATTCACATGGTAAGAAATTCAGACAAATCACTATATTGGAGAATTTACAGAAATCTTCATGACATTAGACTGAAACTGTCACAAACATGCTACTTTGTTCTCTTGTGTAAGAGGCTTCAGTGTAATTCACTGCTATCTATAGAGAAAAATAACCATCAAAACTCCCTCAGTGTAACAGTAACAACGTAGACACTGATCGACCATATTCACATTTGAGGAAATTGGACCAAAATAACATGATCAATTTTATACATGTCTTCACATGCTCATCATCATCCTATGATGGTTTTCATCCGTTCCCAGCTTCCACCGAGAAATGGTCTTCATAACCTCCTCACACAGTCACTGTAAATGGCAAGGTTTAGTTAAAAGAAGATGAAGAAGATTCATGATTTGAAAATGTTCCATTGCCAAGTCGATGGCCATATTGAATGTCGTAATTACACCAGAAATCTACGTGAGGGTCGAAATGTGCAACACTGTGCCTTGTAATGGCATCGATTGACTCACCTATCAGCACCTCACTGTCCAAAATGTGGAGATAGCCATTTATACTTGACGACAAACTGGGACCGAGATCTGAATCCAGCCATTAAATTGTGATCCTTGAGACAACAATATGCTGCATGTGTTCCGTCATCATCTCACATCATATCCCAATTGCAAGTTCACCGTAACAGCTCACAAATTTGGTGGGATCAACTCATGAATTTAACATGGCTTATGGCATCAAAAAGTGAAAACAATTTAAGCCGGGCTGCTTGCGTTTTCTTCCAATGGTCTTTGTTTTAGAGTGCAATCAACGAGAATCCAAAGATTTCAATTTCATTCCTGAAATAGAAAGCTTGCTCCTTATCATTGCCTTCTCATTCATATTCATTAGAAAAGAGAAACCTAGGCTTAGTTCAAGAATGCAAAGACGCTGATGGCAGGGTACGCTGTTGATGTACGCTGTTGATGTTTGCTGTTGATGTTTGCTGTTCCATGTTCCAGTCACAATTTCGACACACCATATTGTCAGCTGACTTGGAATAGGCACTGTTATCAGGTCTTTATAGATCCATCAGAGCAACTCTGGCAAAAACAGGGATACCGTCAATGTCTGCCTTAATTGAAGGCAATGTGGCACATCACAGATAAGGAGGTATTAAGCCCCTGATTTTCTCTGGTGGAATTCTTGCAGCTAGTAAAAGAGGAATGCTGTGTGTCTGAGGACGACTAATCTGTCTGACGCCAAAGATTCTGTAGGCCCTTGATACCAATTTTGTTTGATTCCATTGATGACAGTACTGACATGGGTTTGTCTCAGTGACGTCACTAGGTGTCCATTTGAGAGAGGGGAATTACATACCCACATGCCTTCCTGGGATTATGTTCGTGATTTCAAAATAAAGCAGTTTCACCATATTTGTATGGTTCATCAAAAGGGGAATGAACTTGGGATACATATTTCCACAATCATCTCAGCAATAGGAACTTTTTAAATTTATGTTCCTCAATTTAAAGGATTGGATGTGATAAGACTCCCATCTTGAATGTGAGACTACTTTCTGCCAGACTAAACCCTGTATTTTTATAAGTTCTTATCCATCAGTTACAATTCATAAAAGACATTTTCCTAAAATATATATAAAATGTATGTCAGAGAATATCTTGGCAAAACAAGATTCTATTGTGTGTAAAAGGCAAAACAGCCTTAAAAATGTATCACTGAAAATCAGTAAAGACACCAGGTGTTTGCAAAAAGATTAGGCATGTGCTGCCCTACTGCTAGGACCCATGAAGATCCGGGGTAGAATAGGTCTTCAGCAACCCATGCTTGCCGTAAAAGGTGACTATGCTTGTCGTAAGAGGCGACTAGCGGGATCGGGTGTTCAGGCTCACTGACTTAGATGATGCATGTCATCGATCCCAATTGCATGGATCGATGCTCGTGATATCAATCACTGGATTGTCTGGTCCAGACCCGATTATTTACAGACCACCGTCATATAGCTGGAATATTGCTGAGTGCGGCGTAAAACAACAAACCAACCAACCAACCCTTCTGCTAGCACCTGCCACTCACATAATTTGCATAAAAAGTATGTGTTTTTTACCTGATGTCACACAGCAGTACTCTTGCCGCACCATGGCAAATGTTTCTGCAAATGCTACCTTGTCAAAATCCCAGTTGTTTAAGCTGATTACAAATATACTATATGCAAATCATTTCTCCACACAAGGTTGTTCAAGGAGTGTCATAACCATTCACAATTAAAAGCAAACTGTATACAGGTTAAAGAGTCTAAATTCTTTAAGTGAACATGTCTGTGGCATGTAATCTCTGTAAAGGTCACTAGTACAGAGAATCCAACTTGCACCGCCTCCTCTGAATCTGAATCTCTAGCATCTATGGAAACATGCTAATGTCTTCAGCCCCCTACCTGTTGCCTGCCTGGGGCTCGGATGTGCAGGCTAACAAGCCACTATAACCATGCCAGACATTCCCGGTGAGAAGCCAGGAATCTCGCCGGGCTTACATAACACATACTTCGAGTACTCCAGAAACTCTTCTCAATGCTCTTTGCCTCTCCCCTGAGTCAACAAGACCTTATAGGTGTTCATAATTACTGCTAATTGGCAATCAGTAATGTAGCGCTTGTGTTCTGTTTGTTTGTTTCATGTTGTTTAATGCCGCACTCAGCAATATTCCAGTTATATGACGGTGGTCTGTAAATAACCGAGTCTGGACCAGACAATCCAGTGATTGACATCATGAGCATCATTCCACGCAATTGGGATATGATGACGTGCATCAACCAAGTCAGAGAGCCTTACCACCCAATCCCATTAGTCGCCTCTTACGGCAAGCATGGGTGGCTGAAGACCTATTCTACCCTGGATCTTCACGGGTCTAGCCTTTGTGAATCTAATACAACTACCTTAAGACAAGAGTGAGTGAGTGAATATGGTTTTACGCCGCTTTTTGCAATATTCCAGCAATATCACAGCTGGGGACACCAGTAATGGGCTTCACACATTGTACCCATGTCAGGAATCAAACCCGGGTCTTCGGCGTGACGAGCGAACGCTTTAACCACTAGGCTACCCGACCACCCCCTTAAGACAAGAAGCTCTTGTGAATCTAATATAGCTACCTTAAGACAAGAAATTTGTACAGACAACAAACCAATAGAAACAAAATAGAAAAGGTTGACAAATTCAAGGTGTCTATATCAAGACTTAAATGGGTACATTGTGTGCATTTCATAGATTCCCCCACCGAAATAATACTGGAACATACCTGACCGACACACCCACTCACCAACACACCCACTCACTCACTCAGTTCACGGGTTCATCGTTTATTGTTACTGATGGTGAGTAGGAGCAGAATGATTTCCTTTGTTTTGCTGCTCCTGTCAAGTGGGTATTAATTCTGAAATGTTTGGTAAAATAATCATGCGATCGGTATTTTTACAGTACATTTCTATGAAAGAAAACTAGTTCCAAGGGAAGTATTCTGGGTTCCGCTATAGGTTACCTCAATGTGCCAACAAGTTGCTATTTCTCCGTGGTGTTATTTTTATTTCTTAAAATGTACTGTACACATGCTCCCAGATTGTGGATGTGTTCGGTGCTGGTGTTGGCATTTACATCACCAGGGATGAAGTGCCGCCTAGCTCTGTGTATCAACATAACTCTATATATCTTTCATTCCCCCTGTATATCACCGATAGATATCAATGCATCAAAACATAACTTGCTCATCACAATATCTTAATGTCATGATATATTGTGTGCATATTGATACTGAATAATGGTCATTGAATAACACTATGGCTTAAAGGTTTGAAAAATTGGTTATTGCTATAAGATATGTTGCCTAACCATAAAAGTACATGATTCATAAATGCCATAAATAATCATGAATATAATGTTTATGTGGCCATCCTAGGGTCACCTACCATCTTTTATTGAATTTATTACTGTTTTTTTCAATGGTAAAAGGTAGGGAAAAATAAAAATAAAACAGCCAATCCAGTGCTGGTCTTCTAAATAATTATTCAAATCTAGAAATACCGTAGAAGGCAACAATATTCTTGTGGAGAATGCTTCACATTTGGTAAGTATATACATATCTATAATTATTTTCAAAAAGATCAAAAAAGAAAACTGATAACTTCTTTTCAAAAGATCTGACAAACAATAAAAACAGTGCTTTAGGAAACAGTAGATAAAAAACAAATAGGAAATCAAATCTTATTTTAGGTTTGGCAGATCAATAAATTAAGTAACATTTCTTATGTATGTCTCTCACATTTGACGGAACAAGAACTTTTTAAGATTGTATGTCAATGCAATAAGGTAATATGCCATTCGTGGATATCCCAGTTACGTAAAGAAACCATAGCAACCTCCAAGGCGCGATGTGACACAAGGCGAAGTGACTGCTATCTCTCCGCACCTCTTGGAGTATGAATGAAGTGCCATGAACTTACCGACATTGTGTGCTGGTTTAATTTCAAAGGTCCAAAAGATATCTCATTTTCTGTTGTCTGTAATAGAAAAAGACATCCATCAAAAACGTGCATTAGCATCAGTAAGCATTGATAACCATACAATATGTAAAATCATTAATCAATATTTATTTCAAAGATTTTATAACAATGAATTATGTTGAATATTCTTGTTTACAACAGAGGGACAATGCAACTAGTACAACCAAAACATCACTCTGGACTGGAACAATCTCTATTATGATATAATAAAATGCACGAACAAGTGCAAAAGTGAGCGTGGCTCACTAATACCCCCGACCCCCCTAGTGTGTCAGTAGTTACAAATTAAATAGCTAGGATAGGGTTAGTCACTTAGAGTTTGAAAAATTCCCCAAAAAATGGAAAAGTAATCAAAACATTTTTTTTCTTTTGACTGCACCTCTCCATATGACACAGATTATATGTACTAAGTTTGAGATGAATCCACTGAATAGTTTAAGAGAAATCGCGCGGACAACATTTTCGGACGGACATTAGGGTTTGAAAAATTCATAAAAAAATGGAAATTAATGAATTTTTAAATTCTTTTTTGACTGCACCCCTCCATATGACACAGATTATATGTACTAAGTTTGAGATGAATCTACTGAATAGTTTAAGAGAAATCACGCAGACAAAGTTTTCAGATGGACGTTACGGTTTGAAAAATTCATAAAAAAATGGAAAAGTAATGAAAACAATTTTTTTCTTTTGACTGCACGCCTCCATATGACACAGATTATATGTACTAAGTTTTAGATGAATCCACTGAATAGTTTAAGAGAAATCGCGCGGACAAAGTTTTCGGACCATCGGACAGACGGACGGACGGACGGAATCTTGGTATAACTATATACCCCCGACATTTTGTCGGGGGTATAAAAAATAAAACAAGTAGCAAATTGTTTCTAAAATAAATTCTGAAAAGAATATAATGCATTCAGCAGACACTAATGAAAAATAAATAGAATAAAAAATAATAATTAGAAAGCAGACTTAAACCACTGTGACTCCATCACTCAAACCTAATGATGGAAGAGACAGCACTCTTAGCTAGCTGGTTGTGAATATAAAAACTTTTCAGCTGCTATATCCCTTTGGTATTGCCAAAAATTGGATTCAGGCAAGATAACAGTTCATCACTGTAAACTGAATATGTGTTCACATAACCAGAAAGATGCTTTAAGATCAACAAGTTAGGTAACACAATTCAAGTTGGAGATAAAACACCCCTGGTGCCTAAATCTGCAGCTCCACCTATAGAAGTAAGTATTTCACGGAGGTGTCTGTTGCTGCCCTGTGGGCTCTCTGTGAGGCTGGATTGGGGTTATCAGTTTGGGCACAACATCGCTTACATGACTGACATGAACAAAAATACTAGCATGTCGTTATATAAACACCGCAAGATCCTCACGTAAACATGATGCTTTTTGTTTATAATCTATTTCTTTTTGTTGTGGAAATACCTCAGTTTTTCAGCAAAAAGAGTTATGTTTTTCACCAATTCTCTGAAGTGCAATGAAACTATGTGTTATGAAACATGATTCAATGATACAATTTCAAAAAAAATTGTATCTTTCCATCGCATCCTGCATAGAATGTGAGCTTCTTCCATGCCATGTATTTCATTCTTTTTTCTTTCAAAAAAGACTGTTAACACTATACAAATCTGGAACTTTAAATCACACGAATTGTTTCTTTAAAATAGGACGTAGTTGTAAACAAACCATTTCCACAGACATAAGAAATCTCTGCTAAAAGCAGAGTCGATTGTATGATTCTGACATCACAAGCATGTGTTTATGAATCACTAACAAATAGTGATGATATCAGATGTTAACGAACACCTCCTCCCCACCCCTGGAACCAGACACAAACACATGCAAAGGCAAGGCAAGTGTTCACCTGAAAAAACAAGTGAAAATAAGGGAATTGCTTCACACATTATTTTTATTACTAATGCCTCAAATTTGGAAATGTCCTCCACATGTCCACCATTTAAAGCCTTGAATGCTGTCCATATCACTATTCATGTATTGTTTGCCATTAACAGATGACATCCATGGAACTTGATTAAGTGTATGAGTTGGATTTAACACTGCCTTCACAGTAAGCGTATCCTGGAACAACGAAGGGAGCGAGTTCTATACAACTTTGACAGCTCGGCCAATCCTTACCTCATTCAAATTAATGAGGTTCTGATGCAAACATATAAAGAATTATAGAGAAATTATGTAGATTATATCAAACATTTTTATTTAAATGATGACAGTTTTGGTTCCATTGACAGCTGAAATCTGTAAGATGCCTGCATTTGATCACATAATTTTATTTATTTAAGGAGAAAATTCTGACATCTTGCAGAACACTGTTTCTTACAAAAAGACAGACAAAAACCACTGACCACCCATATTCATTTTGCAAATGTGTTTGCCTGAAGATTAAATGTCATATTTTCAGTCCATAAAACCACATAACTGTATTACACACGCTCAAAATGTTCCAAATAAACCACATCAATTCAAATCATAAAACAACATAACCAAAATATTTGTAATTCAAACACTTCCCACATCAGTATCAGAGAAAGCTTGGAGTGAGTGAGTGAGTATGGTTAAATCCCGCTTTTAACAATTATCCATTATATCATATGAACATATTGAACAGAAAAAAATAGTTGTCCAATTATCTTAATAAATATATAATAACAAGGGGCCCAGAGACTCTTAATTATCAGACAGTGCAGTAATCTATCTTGCCAAACATTATAGACTTGCATGGGCTGTATTTGATATATTTGTATCAGGGTCTGTAAGACAGACTACACATTGGCATACAAAGAGCATTGCATTGTATCTATACAGGGATAGGATGTATTTGAAAAAACAACGTTAACCTGAGGGTTCTGGGGGACTGTATCATTTATGAGTACCGTATTCGATGTAATAAGCGCCCCGCTCTAATAAGCGCCCACGGTGATTTTTGCTAATATATTGGCGAGTGAACAATCCCAACCAGCACCCCTTCCGATTGATCAATGTACACAAGACTTATTTATTCGTGAATAATACACACTCTTGTGTTATATCACCCTTAATTATGGGCAATTAAATTCTGGAAAAATATATCTGTCGTATGTAAACATTTCAGGCGAAATTTACGATCTTTTGATTTTACGAGATTTTGAGAGCACCCTGGGCGCTTATTACGTCGAATGCGGTATATGGTATTGTGTGTATCGCAAAAGTGAACCTTGACATAACAAATTTCCACTGAATTCCGCAGACCTGCAGAAAATTCTCTTCCCTGTCAATAGACTGTACGCACACAACACTAGCATCTGAATAGCACTGTGTTTAGTGTATATACTCTAAACACATGAGGTGGCTATCACGGAACATGTCAGTCTTTATCTGAATGTGCCAGATGTTGTCTTCATTGTCCAACAGGCTCTTCACAAGGGTATTGCATAAAACCAGCACAACGATTCCATTGAAGTCTGTACCCTGTGTCTATCATGCAGACAAGCAATGTGTGTGTCTGTACCCTGTGTCTATCATGCAGACAAGCAATGTGTGTGTCTGTACCCTGTGTCTATCATGCAGACAAGCAATGTGTGTCTGTACCCTGTGTCTATCATGCAGACAAACAATGTGTGTGTCTGTACCCTGTGTCTATCATGCAGACAAGCAATGTGTGTGTCTGTACCCTGTGTCTATCATGCAGACAAGCAATGTGTGTGTCTGTACCCTGTGTCTATCATGCAGACAAGCAATGTGTGTGTCTGTACCCTGTGTCTATCATGCAGACAAGCAATGTGTGTGTCTGTACCCTGTGTCTATCATGCAGACAAGCAATGTGTGTGTCTGTACCCTGTGTCTATCATGCAGACAAGCAATGTGTGTGTCTGTACCCTGTGTCTATCATGCAGACAAGCAATGTGTGTGTCTGTACCCTGTGTCTATCATGCAGACAAGCCATGTGTGTCTGTACCCTGTGTCTATCATGCAGACAAGCAATGTGTGTCTGTACCCTGTGTCTATCATGCAGATATGTGTGTGTCTAATGCTGTAGATCAGGAAGTTCAAATTTAAAAAATGGATATTTTTCACAACTCATTAGATACTTTATTTGCATTATTGATTTATCTTCATGTATTTATTTGCTGATGACCAAAATACTGTTATCAGCATTTGTATTGCAAAATTATTTTTATAATCACAACAATTTAAAAACAAATTTGTATTTCCTGATGTAGATCAGGAAGTTGAAATCAATAAATGAATAATTTCATTATGATCACCTTATGATCTATTCATGTATTATTGATCTGTCAGCATTTTAAAATCACAACAATGTAAAAACAGTTCATCTTCAATCTGTCTATCTTTATACAGCATTAGCGAAACTACATTTCCGAAATGACGTACCACACATACACAAGTCTGGGATTACTTCAATTTTCCAATTGTCAACTTTCCCTTCATGTCGAGCAATATTCCTGCAGCTCCATCTTGAGGTGTCTACATTTCACAACTTTTGATTCACAATTGACAATGCTCTTTCTATGAATATTTCAGAGAGTGTCAAATAGAACTCATCAATTATCAGGTTTGTTTGATCTGGGTTACAACATTCATGACCTTAGCAAAGCTTTCATAAGATCTTATGGCAGACAAGTGAAGCACATTTCCAAATTTAACATAACAGTGACAAAAATAATGTCCCTATTTTGACTTGTACCATACTCCCCAGGGAGTTGAGAATGAAAATCGAGTGCTCACTGATCCATTGACCGGGGTAATAATAGTGTAGCGCTATGAGCATCCACTTGGTGAATGGTATCTGGCACATTATAAATGCACTTATTATATATTCCTGTGTTTTTTCAGGTGAACAACTGACTTGCCCTTGCAAGCGTTTGTGATATGTGCACCGTTGAGGCAGGATATGCTCACCTATTCGCAAACACCTGGTATCACAATTTTTTTACAGTGATTCATAAACACATGCTTGTG